AGCTAAATGAAAAAGTAATAGATACCAACACTGAAATTGTAATTAGATAATGAGCGTCTGAGAAAAAAGAAAAAATGTGATTTAATGTTAATGTCTGCTTCTATATTTGTCACTGCTCTGTCCACAGTCAAACTAAACATTGGATTATATCATGGGTAGATATTTTTATTGATTCATTTGAGCGTCAATATTTAATTCGTTAATTTGAAAACATTGCATTTTAACTTGGAAATAGTTATATCAATAATGAAGGGATTTAATGTTTATGTCTGCTTTGATATTAATTATGGTGTCCATGTGCAAATAAATTTAAAAACTAAAATCTGTCAGTGTTTCTGGGGTTTTGGAAAGTGGGTGTCAAACCTCAAAGAATCGAGTTTAAAGGGACATTTTCACACAGTATATCTTCTCATTTGTCAAATGTATGTCCATATTTACAGTATATGGTAAAAGTCTGTATAAATGTAAGTTATTTTGTGTGATTCCAGAGACAGTCTGCTGTGTAGGGCTGTGTATACACACTTGTACTGTTCATTGTGTTTCTGGCTCTGCATGATGATAGTCAGTGAAAAAACTGCACCCTAGTGGGAAAACCAGTCAGCTGCACCATACTGAGTCTGTCGTGCAAATTCATTAAGCTATAAAATTCATTGTGAAAATTATTGAAGCATGTATTATGATTATTTTGATATTGTGTTGGATTTGTAAAGTAAACGCCATTAATCAGTTTGAGTATATACGTTTATTGCATAAAATAAAATAACTAATGTTCTAGTCTATTACAAATACTTGTTTATAAAACAGGATAAATTATAAAAATAAATACTTTGTGCAGTTTGTCTGTACTGTCAATGCAAGCAGAAAAAAAATTTGCTTGAACACACAAGTCCATAGAAAAAGACGACTCATTGTTATGTGATCATGATCATACCTCATGCCAAGACAAACATCACAATGCAGTGGGAGCATTAAAGAGACACGTCTCAACACACCAAGTCTTTTCTAACTTAACTCTCAACTTGTTTATATTAGCATACAAAAAAACACCAACACGGATCAGATGCATGATTTGCAGCACAATAACTATTCTCGGGCACTACACCTATTTAGTTCACATTGTCAATATTGTCCAAAAAGATACAATATAAAAAGAAACCCTGTAACAATGTTTGGCAATACAAAGGTAGTAATAGTACAATATCAAAATAATTCACCATTTAGGCCGCTGCTTTGATTTTGGCTGCACCTCAATTAGAAAAATATAAGTTGCTTTGGACTTCACGAAATGTCACTTCAGAAAAAAAAGAAAAATGGTTGTTTTCTTTGTAAGTTGTAATAATAATCCTTTATGTAAGCACAAATTATTTTAGTGGTCTGGACTCCCAGAAGCCTCAGCAGGGCGACAGGAGTGAAAAAATATTAGTTTAACAGCTTGAGGCAGTTTTTAAGAACAACATGTACAACAATGGTTTGAGGTGGAAAAGCGTCAGTGAGCCCTGTTTTGCTTTGAATCATCCAAACATGTTTTTCCCTTTATAACTCCACATACAGACTCTATTCACTTTTTAGCCCAACTACAATGTTTTAGTTTTAGGGTCAGAGGTAATAAAAGCTTATCTTTATTATTTGACTTGCCATGAGCTACATGCCACATCCATGTACTACTTAATAATACGTTTATTTATAGAACACTTTTCAAAATCTAAGTTACACAGTGGTTCACAAACAAAGTGCTTTAATGTAACCATACACTGTATTTCACCTCTTAGACTAAAAACTTCACTTGCCAGTAATCCATTGTCCCGATTGATTAAGGCTTTTTGCACATTTTACATCGTTTCAATGACATTTAGCAAAATGTCAACAAAAAAAAAAGAACCCTGAAGAGCAGTTGAAGAGGTGAGATGTCTGGGGGGGGGAATTAACATTCAAATCTGTACAATAGCAATCTTATCTTTGAGTAAATATCTGTAATGATCCTGTTCTTTATTGCAACTTAGCCAGAGGCTTTGAAAATCACTCTTTATTTTGTGCAGAATAAGTAATTTGTTACTTGATTTGTCAATTCTTTTTTAATACATTCTGATTTCACATTCTGGTTCTTTTAGATTTTGGCCAATATCAGTGGGTACCTAATGATTGAGTAATACATCAATAATATGCTTTTCATAGGAAAATAATTGCATATTACATTATTAGTTAATAAAATATATTTATATATAGGAATATATTAAACATTTCTCATATACTATCTCAAACATTAACTGTGGCATGCTGGAAGAAAAAAACAGCCAGACTAGAGAGAAGCCTTTTGTGTTTCTGACTTTTTCCATGAAAATGCCAGTCGACACAAAGGGCAGGTTTACCAGCATGAATCCATTATGTATCAGAAATACATTCGGCTTTGTGTGAATAACCTTTTCATAACACTTCTGTAACATCTTGAGAACTGGCCTGTTGACACTTTGAGTTTTAATGCATTATGCATTTATCACAGTCACTGAATCCAGTGTTATATTGTTTCTGATTTTGATTTCATTATGGCCTGACTGCACCTATGAGATGCTATATTTATGTTCATAAAGGCAAACTAACGCTTTATAAAGAGGTTTTGTGAGTTAATACAAAAATGTACAAAATGTCTCCTGCAGAGCCTGAGCATGTTGAACACTGTAAAGGTTTCTTGGCTTTGATATTGTGTTGTGTAGAATGTGACTGTGTGTCATTAGCTGCTTTCAGACATGCACTGAACTCCGGGTAATCTCCGGACATTCTCCAGAGGGGCTGTGTGTGAGAATGCAAATGTCAGAGTGAGAGGACTTTAGACTTTCTCCAGAGTTTCTCTGTCCAGTCCCCCTGGTAAAAAGTAAATGAGATCCTCCGCAGGTTTCACGGCGAGCGGGTAAGTGCGTTGGTGACGTTTCTAACACCCGACAGATGCAAAAATAAAATAAACAGAATACAAATAGCTCCGAAGAACAATTGGTGCCACACATAGAAGACGCTGAAGAAGAGTTTTTGGTGATAAGGGCCGACGTCGGTGTGCTGTTAACATTAATGTGTGATCTCTGCAGCAAAGTTAATGTTACGTCTTTCTGTTGTTGTAAAACCTGCTGCGTTATTCGTGTGCAAGGAAACCTCTGAAGAAAGTCCGAAACCAATTGTGCCAACGTCCTCCGGAGTTCATGTCTGAAAACAGCTATTTTGTGACACCTGTTGCTCTTTGAGTTGCATAAACACTGCTGTGTAATGAAGACCAGACCAATGAAACAATGAATCCTCTCAGTTGGCCCACATGTGATTTACCTACATCATCCAGTCACCAGAGCCCCGTGGATGTCAGGCTACTCACAGACGTGCTGGATGTATGGATGTATCGTGTCGTCTTGCTGTTTTGAAGACATCCTGTTGAGAAGTGTGGGAGCCCAACCAGCTGAGCTGCAGACTCACTTTATGTCACCTTGACAGCACACTTCTTGTGGACAGAGAGCAGGGAGACGTAGGGCACGCCAATGAAGGCCCACTTCTCGTTGGGCCAGAACATGATGACGGGGCCTCGCTCTGGGGCCTCAGTCGCAACGTCAAAGTAGGCGAAGCAAACGCAACCCAAGTAAGAGGCCAGACATATGAGGATGTGCCTGTAAGAGCAAGAGGAGTTTGAATGAACCAGACTGTGTGAGAAATGATTTGCTAAATATACCTGTGTGTCTGCAGGTGTCAGATTTAGTGTGTCTACAGAATAAATCTCCTTCTTATCAGGTTATTTTAGTCTGTGTTTAGTCTCTTGTTGAACCCTGAGGACTCATCTTTGTTCCTCTCAATTACATATTCATCTCCCTCTTAAGTCACACTGCTCATGAAACACACAAACTGCAACTATGCTACTGTCCACTACACAATGGTAACATGGGAATAAATCAGACATACAAGTTCAAACTGAACACTCTGATGAGGAAAAAAGTAAAGATAAATGTAACACAGGTACACAAAGGTGGAAATAGTACGCCTGACATGAACTGCTTATTTACTTCATTTTGCTATATGTCTTTAAAAAAAACAAAAAAACACAGACATGTTTAAAATATGATTTTAAACTGAGGGTTTTGAAAACAAGAAAAAAAATTCCCAGTGAAATAATATTTCTGCATCTTTCTAAAACAAAATCCCTTATTTGTAGTATTTAGCTAAATTTTCTATTTTATTAAATTTGGTTTCTTTTTTTTTGATTCTACAGCATCAACCTCACATATATTCTCATTCATAAAATATTCTTGAAACATTGTTGTAAAAATATTACTATTTCAGCTTTTGTATTTCAAGTAAATAAAATTTCTAAAAATTAAAAATGTGTATTAATTTCCATTTCATAGTCAAAAGAGTGCATTCATGGTTGGTAAACAATCATAACCCTGGTAATGTCCCACACAGTGCTGAGATGGCCGTGAACTTACCAAGCACAGTGTAAGTAGGGAAAGTTGACAGATGACCACATTTCACAGAAGATCCTGTCACTGATCCAGCAGAGCAGAGCCAGCGCCCACCAGATCCCTGAGATCAAGCCCAGCTTGAACACACGAGGGTTTTCACACCTGCAGTGGTCGAGGAGAGAACACTGAGAACTGTGTACAACTCTGAAAACGCACATACACACACATAATGCAGCAATATATGCAAGTCTGCTCTTTGTTGTCCTGCAGCCTTTTTATCATCAAAATGCACCATCAGCACACACAGTACACACTTTCTGTACTTAAACATCTGAGTTTACTGAATGTGATTAATCTTGTGGATGCTGACCTTTAAAAATGTGTAATCTGTGTATGCAGGACTATGAAACTGAAGAAATAGATAACAAAAATATATTTTTTTTTACAATAAAACATTGAAATATAAATATGTCAATGAAAAACCAAAACTGATTAATCGGCTATAAATATATGCATTACGTTTTTAACTTAAAGATTTGCCTCTTCAACATCCAGTAGATACAGAGCAAAATTATCTTTAATTTGAAGATGTGATTTGAACTTGGTGAATGTTTGTATTTTATCTCTCCAGAAGTTCATGCTGAACTACTTTAAGTAGCTTAACTGTTAAACATACATATAACATTTATACATTTTATACCTTTAACCCTATAACAATAATAACTACTATCTTTTGAGAATTTAAAATATAATAAAATAAAAATTGAGATGCAATAAAACAACAATTTTAGGTTTTAAATTGCATTGGGAGCCTTCCTAACGTATAGGGTGTGGATGGTCTCTTCCAGAATACACTTTTTATTCACTTGTGATGGAGAACAAATGTTTACCAACTATTTTCCACTGTGCGTAAGGGGAGCTTTTATTATTTTCACCTGAGATGTCCATACCAGTGTGTGAAGTTGTAGTTGTAGCACATTTATCTTTAGAAGAGATCGTTCTTTTTAGGGACCTGAAAGATTTGTGAGTGACAAGTATTCATGTTGACATCCAAAATATCTCCAAGTGGACGGCGCTCTGACCTGCAGATACACGAGCTAATCCTGGCTGCTGCTGATAAACTATTCTTAGTCATGTCCTCCTTACGCACGGGGGACAGCTGAGGCGAACGTGAGTGCCAAAAGAAAGACAGGGACTAAACTGAGTGACGATGCAGCAGAGGAGTAGTCACCGTGACGCAGTTTGTCCCCTTAAGAAAGCATTTGATGAAGTCATACCATTTCAGCAGCCTTTAATTTGGGTCACCATTGTTTCAAGGGGAAAGGAATGTAGAGACAGCACAAACACTTCCCAGAGAGCACTTACAGCACAATAAGATACAGACAAACAAATCTTAAAGCTTCTTAAATCTATAGCTTCAAGCAAATGGTTTTTAAGTCAGACTCCTGGGAACTCCTCTCAGACAAAGCTTGGAAAAAGACCTAAAAAGTTGAAATGCTCTGTTGAGCTGAGGAGAACTGCAGTGCTGGCTGGTAATTCTGAGTTTGTCACTAAGAACAACCACCTTTACGTTACACCGGCCATTTAAGACACTGATAAAAGAGACATCATTGCGAATCCCACACAACACAAGCTGATCCAGGATATGTGAATGGAAGCTAAAATAAATCTGACTCTTTCTCTGCTGAACTCTCTTTGTCCACCTCAGCATGCAGGTACAGCTGCTGCTCTCTGGGACACAGTGAGCATCTCACTGCATGGGACTGAAATGTGAAAACTGGTTCCAGTGCCTCCAGCTAGAAAACACTTACTACTGATAAAGACATGTTACGAGTCAATGTCACAGACAGCAGTAAATCACCTCTGGCTAATGATGGCAATGTAGACTGTTAGCTCAGGGGGGGTTGTTTTTTAAGAGAAAACGATACCACTGTGTGGAAGGTCATTCCGTGTCAAATCCACAGAGGCCCTGTCATACTTCAGTTTAATTGTACAAAAAATGTCCTGCTTAAATCTTCGTTTTAAAAAAGCGAGTTGTGTCCTTAATGAATGTGTGATTCATAACTTCTGATGCTACATGTTTGAAATTTTAAACAGTCCTTCAATAATATGAGACTTCTCTAGCTTCCAAAACGGTTTGTCTCCAGTTACATATTTGCCAAGTTATCGTTCAGTGAAAATTGTAGTAAAATGGTTTACAGCTTCGCACTGAACCACATCAGATGTTTAAAATTGACATGTAATCGTCGGCTACCTTCTTGGCAGGTGTGTATATCTGAACACAAATTTGTGATCTATGAAGCATAAGATAAATCCTTTGACATCTATATTGCAAAGTGCATGTTTGCGATCTATGAAGCATTGAAACAGTGGTGAGCTATAAGGAGCAGATACATGAGGAATAGAAGCACATGGCTACGTAAAGCGAAGTAACCAAAAGTCATGGTAACTAGAGGAAAACACGCAAACCCTTGAAGACCCTGTAGGATACCTTAATAAATACTGTTTGGTTCAATGTACTTCACATATGTGCATTTACCGTCAGACTATGCTGTCTGGCAGTTATGCACACATTCTATATCCAGGGACACAGACCAAATGTGCTATAACATCTGCATGGTCTTCCTCTTCTTACATGGTGTTACTTAAAGTCAAGTCAGGTCAGTAAATGAACCAAACAGGCAACTTTCTTACATAACTGGTCCAGAAAGGGAGCAGAAGAATCTGTGTCATGGCTACTCAACAGCAACAGGAAGTGCAGAAATAGATGATGTCTTCCCAGAGGGAAATATACCATTAGGGTGTCATCAATATTGTCATATTCTACGTCAAGTGCTGGAGGTGTTCTATGGTCATGGGAGCGAGACCTGGCTTAGCACCAGGTATAAAGTGAGCTGACCTTACTGAGTTTCCATGTACACACTGGGTCAGCCCACACCTCTTCCTGCTGACAGAACCATCTCCTCACGGCTGCATATCTGGAATACTGTGACCATATCAGCCCAAACATGTGAGATAAGAAGCACGACACAAAACCGGGACTTCTCCTCGGACAGTTAGTGAGGGAGTGAAAAGGAGAGTTTGACCAGTGGAGGTGACGATAAGTCAAGGAAAGGTCTGTCTGTGAGCCTGCCTGTCTGTCTGTGAGTCAGTCTGTCTCTCTGTGTCTGCCTGTGAGTCTGCCCGCCTGTCTGTCTGTCTGTGGGTGGAAATGTCCTAAGACGCTTCCCTCACTCTGGGGAACAGACAGGAACAAGCTCCATTAGATCTGTGTCTTAAAGCCGGAAACTTATCGAAGACTCCAAAGACGCAGCAGCTCTTTACTGAAAAATGTAAATGTTTTTAGAAAGTGAAGTGAAAATAAGACTCAAGTTGTATTAAACCTGAGCAGATGAAAAGGTATGACTTTTTAATAGATGGCCTTTATATTTGCCGGTATGTGCACATGAAGACATGTGTGAATATGAATAGATATGTGTATGTGAAATTATACAAGATTATAAATACAGTATTCTAATTTGCTTGTACTTTATTTATCGGCTTTTTAAGAGCCATGCAAAACCGCAGAGAGTTAAATTATGCATGTGACCATATCTGTTCTTTCACTAGTTGATAAGAAAATATGCTGTCACTCTCAGGACAAGTATGAAATTGGAAGAGAGAATGGGGAAGGACACAGCAGGTCAGAACTGAACCCACGACAGCTGCAGGAAAACCAAGGTCGTGTTAAATTAAACTTTGCTGTAATAATCACAAAACTTTTTTCAAATATAATCACTTGGTTTTGTTTCTTATTTTTCCTTTATGAATAACCAATTACTGCAGGACATTGGTTAAATTGCTTCAACACTTCAGCTTTATGTAATATTTGAGATGGATATCCTAAACACAGGACAAGTTGTTTTTGTCCAGCTTGAAGTACCTTGAACAGGGGCCAACAGACTAACGGTAAGAGAAAAAGCAAACAGAAACAGAATAGTCTGTCCACTCTGATGGCAAAAGTCCATCAGCCAGGGCCTCAGGAATTCTCTCCCACTTAGCAGAACAAAAAAACATCAATAGACGAGTGGCACCAGCAGCAAAGTCAAAAGTCACTAGAAGGTCGAACAATGGATGACTTCAGGTTAGACTGGCAGTGGTGAGTAAGAGTTGTGGGAAACGGAAACAACAGCACGGCTGCACATTGCTGGGACGGAGGAAAGCATTAGACACATGCTCACAAACATACACAGTCATGAGCAAGAATGTGCGTTCAGAACATTCCTTCACATCACACAGCCTCTAATTATCTTGTAACAGAGGACATGTCAACAGGCCATGTCAGTAGAAAAGGGCAAAAATGACATTAATATTCTGTTGACACCGTTACACGGTTACACGGTGACACTTGTTAGAGTGACACATAGATCAACAGCAGCAGATGAATGGGCTGAACAGACAACTTGAAATAGACACAGAAACTTGGCCTCTGCTGCTGTTGTGCTTTAAATGTAAACTCTAGTTTTAACTGTATGTGCAGATCAGCACGTCAGCAAATCAAATAGGGCTTCAGACTTACATAGAATCAAGTTGTAATTTTTGTGTGTAGGGAACTGAACTGATTGAACTAACATTGATAAATAAGACCTGCTCACAATGGGGAGTAGAGGTAATTCGGAATCCAGTGGACATCTGTGTCATGATGAAGTACACTGGAAGATCTAAAATGTTTTTTGTTTTTTTTAAATAACCAACTATATTTGAATAAAAGACTGTATAACAATAGTGACAACAGCATAATCTGATATTTCCCACTCATTCTAAAGGGCATGAATAATAATGCCGTTTCAACACATGGTTTTCTCCGTGTAAAGCAATACAATTTATGATGGACTGTCAGATGTTCAGGTAACTGATACTTTTTTTTTTACTATTTTTCTGTGAATCTATTTACTAAATAGCCAACTAGTTAGCAGTTACACAACAAACTGTACACTCTGGATATTAGAATAACTTTCTTGCAATCACAGACGTAACAACGTTACAAATCAGGATGAAGAGAAGACAAACAATGAAAGGTGTGTATTAAGTTATATGAACACAATCATTGCTCTGCCATTAAAGTCATAATAAACCATAAAAAATAAAGATGATGAACACCTAGCTCTGTTGTATGATGTTCCTGTATCAGGATTCCTCCCTCAGCTGCTCAAACCCTGTTCTAAAGAAAAACATTGGCTCCAGCCCCCTGTGACCCTTGAAGGATAAGTGGTATGCCTGAAATCTTTCCACCAACCTTCTCAGCTCAGTAATGAGCAGTGCAGTGCAGGGGATGCCCAGTGTCATGAGCGACACCGAGTTGATGACAGGTTTGACAAAGGCCAAACCCGTGGTGATCCCTGACAAGATGCCGATGACCACTTTGAACCTTGACCTAGATGGAGATGCAAAATTAATCTGCTTCACTTCCATGAAGATTGATATGTGCATTGTGAAACACAGAAGGAATGTTGGTATGACACAAACAATCACTTTGACACACTTATCCAGATAACAAACAAGAATCACTGAAGCTGTGGAGAATTTCAGCAACAGCCTGAAGTGAAACAGCAGACATGGCGACAATGGAAAGAGAAGTAAAGACATGTGATGCAGCTTTTTCTGGTGTCAGCTATCTTAGACAGACCTATTATTAAACAGCAGAGTCACAGCAGTGGACACATCATATGACACAGTGGAGGCCAACAGGCAGCTACTGCAGATCAACCTGCTCAATACTAACACTAACACATACTATAAGTGGAACTGAATTGATGGAACAATCTGATGTAAAATCAAGTTTTACTGCATCAGAGTTCTCTAAAAGGCCTAATATTCTAGTCCACATCTGAATTCACTTTAAATCCACGTAAATCAGCTGCTGTTACAAATGTGCATTGCTCATTAGTACACATGGTTTGAAACCATGGTAATGCATCCTCCTCTGATAACACGTTTACACACTTAATGCTAGTGTCAAGCTTCTAAGGATGGTTATTTTGATGCAATGTCATACGACTCAACATACCGATCCCTCCTGAACATCCGAGGTAGGTATCTCTTGGGGAACCACATGCCAATGGCGCACATGAGCACCCATAAGATGGCCAGCTCATCCAGCATCTGGCCCAGGAAGCTGAGGGTGGCGTGAAAATATGTCGATCCAATACCTGGAAGGAAGAGACACAGAAACAAACAAGCGTTGGTCAGAGATGTAATCTAGTTTTTCAGTGTGTAAATGAGCCTTGATAAATGAGATTTAACAACATCCATTTAAAAGATAACGGAAAAACATCTATGCCTGTTTACAATGGGCAGTTTAAATCCAGTTTAAGGAGTCATAACTTTGTATTTTATATTCCAAATTCCACTTTTTAAATGGGAAACAAACGAAACCAATGAAAAATGTACATATGTCCACTGTAGTTCAACAGAATACAGGCTTGAAACAACATACATCAGGAAGTGTGGGCACGGAGGAGATTCAGGGAGCCCCTCCACCAGAGGATTAATCAGTGCAGCCGGGGGCTGCTAGCTGATTGATCCTCTGGTACAAAATACAGAAGCTGAGCTGTCTAAGGGAGACACATGAGGATGAACGCAGAAAGAGACGCACTGAGACAGAGAGACATGAGGAGGAACACAGAAGGGGACAGATGGTCAAGACAGAGCTGAAAAGCCAATAAGCCAGCGGAAAGTGCTGACAAGTTTAAGTGAACTGAAAAGTGTCTGTTTTGTCTCAGTCTTTCCTCCATGAGCTTTGCTCATATTCGTCTCGCTCTGGCAGCTCAGCTGCTGCCTTTTGAATCCAGGGAGAGTTGACTGGCCAACTAGTCTCAGCTGGGCCAATCACCTGGTTCCCCTGATTGACCCAGCTGAAACTATTCGACCATGGGGAACCAGGGGAGAGGGACCAGGGTGAACCGGGGTGCTCTCTGAGCCGCCTCCACAGGAAGATTAAATGTTTTAGAGAGAAAACTGACTTCAGGGGCAGCGGGTCATCATCTTAACAAAAGCAGCTCAGAGAGGAGTACTGAGAAATGTCTGCTGTTTAAAACAAAGAGACACAAAGTAAACGACTAATCTCAAGGAGTAACTTGGACCTCAACGTATAACTGTGAGAAATGCTGTGGAGGGACGGAGCCGTCAGTGCCTCTTCGTTATCACCGTCCAACAGTCGTCTTACTATCAGCGTTATCTGTTTTCATAACAGGCTCCACTGCAGCAGAGTCACACATTTCAACTTCTTATCACAGACAGAAGTCTATAGAAAACTGTCATGGAAAGAACTGAAACAATTATTTGCTAAACATTCATCTGTAAAAATGTGTTTTTCTTTGTCCTCTGCTAGTATTAGAGCCCGACCAATATGGATTTTTGGTGGCAGATGTTAGGGAGTAAAGAAAATGTATACATGGGACAATATTTTTATTAAAAGGGAATATTATGCAATGATTCCTAAGAAGTTATCAAAACCAATACATTTAATTGAATTTAATAATCATTGCTTTTAGCCTGTAAATACCCAAATATTATGTGTGGGATATAAATCTTTCAACATGTATGAGGCATGTACAGATAGTCTTGTGTTAAAGTATAGTTGGATCATGTATGAGCCTGATGTTTTCTCAGCTGTTCTAAGTTACAGCTTCAGGTTATCCTGAAGAAAAAGACTTTATTGTGACTGTGCTTCATCCAACCAATGACTAGGCCTCTTGTCCAGATTTCAGTTGATTTGTCACAGTCCTAACTGGTGCTAAAGTAAATTAATGGCAGCACAGATAGATTACACTGGCACCATTTGGAAAAAACACTTTGGCTGCAGTGTCAGCAACGATAACCTGACACACGTCCCCCTGCTCCTGAGACGTGACCTCAGTGGATCTTGGGGAAAAAAAACTCAGCCGCAGTTGATAAGAATTTGAATAACTGACTCCTCCATGGACACTGATGGAAAATAGTGTATTTACTCTCAAATCGACTGTGTAACTTTCATTAACTTGCACACACAAGCTTAACGTAAAAGGTACAAATCCCAGTTTGAGAATCCATTAACTCTTTTCTGATCCCCAGTTTAAGTGTCTGTGGCTAAATGCTAATCCTTTTCAACTGCTCCTGAGAGCTGACCTTGGTGGATGTTGAGAAAATACTGATCAGCAGCTGAAAAGAATTTGCATGCTGGCTTGGCCCCAAGCACTTGAACTGTGGCTGAGATGTGAAATAGTGTGTTGCATGGTCCCACACGTCTCCTTTCAAATCCTGTTTAACATCTAACCCCAAAACCAGTGATCACACTGTGAGGGAATCAAACAGGTTCCTTGTTCGTTCACTTGTTGACATCCATTTGAAATCTTACTTTTCTTGTTGCATACCACAAATACTTACATGTAGTATGTGACTCGGGTCCTCAGTGCTGTAAACATTTTGTTTGTGAAGGAAATTTATCGTTGACGTTCATCTAGTTATATGATTGCAAAGCCTGCAACCAAAACGCCTATATATGCAGTCCTCAATGTAGAGCTGTAACTAACGATTATTTTCATATTTATATATAAATATATATCTGCCGATGCTTCTGTATTGGAATTTGTTCTACTCCCTAATGTTGGTATTTGCATTGTTTCCCTAAAATCCATATGGGTCAGGTTCTAGTAAATAGCAAGGACAGAAAATATATATATTCTAAACATAATGTAGTCATGTGTAACAGCCCCTTTACATGTGATGTAAGTAATAAACATTTTTGAAATAGCATGTCTCTGACAGAGTCAACAAAATCTTAAAGGTCCAGTGTGTAAGATTTGGGTGAAAGGGCTCTATTGGCAGAAATTGAATATAAAATAATCATAGTGAGGTTTTCACTAGTGTTTTTCATCTAAATTGTACGACCCTATAACTTCCTGTTCGGAAGGGGAGGGTGAGCTGAGGGGTATTCAGCTGCAACATGCAACTTCACCCTTAGATGTCACTAAATCCTACACACTGAACCTTTAACATAAGAAACTTTGCAAAAAGGAGAGTTTCTGGCTAAGTTATAAACCATATATGTTATTAAATGTTTCTGTAAACCAGTATAAATACATCTTTTGGCTACTCATGAGAAATACACCTAAAAGAGTGTCATAAAGATCAAGAGGTCACCACACAATAAACACAGTCAGTCCACTTACCGACCACAACAAGCAGAATCCATATGAGGTAAATCCCACTGTTGAAATGTGTTGCATATTGGCGGAACAAGCACATTAGTATGGGCGGCAAAACAAAAAACAAAATGTTGCTGATCTGAAATGATAAACAAAGGAAAGCAATGAGCAGAAAAAACATGAACACATCTCATACATGTTGCTCACACGTGACAACATGCTGGCCAGAGGAGTTGACCAGTGTGTGTGTGTGTGTGTGTGTGTGTGTGTGTGTGTGTGTGTGTGTGTGTGTGTGTGTGTGTGTGTGTGTGTGTGTGCAGCTGAAATGCAGAAAAGGAAGAATGTGTAACCTGATGCTAACAGTGTGATGCTGAAGCTGAGAAGCATCATAACATGTTTTAGTCAGTGAGCTTTAAAGCTAATCTGTGAAGAACAGTGAGGCAGCAGTGCAGCACAAAGGAAAACGAAGAAGCTGCAAACAAAACTGTCAACAACAACAACAACAACAATAAAAACACAAAGCACACATTGTTGGCTTTGTCTGTCAGAACCGACCGTGTTGTAAAACTCAGCGATGCTCGGGTAAATAAGGTAATTCCCTTCGCACCAGTCCACATCGGAGCTGCCAGCCTGCAACTGGTCCCAGAAAATCAGATTAACGTTACTCATGTCCGGACTTGTTGTGTCGGAGGGACCGTGCACTGGAGGCAGCGGTCCTCCGTCCACTGCGGAGATTAACAAATGAAAAAGCACCGGAGAAAATCCCTCCAGCCTCTGTCCGTAGAGCTTGTTGAGCTCCGGCTAAACGCGCTGGCGCAAGAGCAGACACGTAGCGTACACTGCACGACGCGAGACACCGCAGGGACCGAGGCTGAGCAGCATAGTGGAGCCGCCGTCCCTCCGCACACTGTCCGGGTGTCGTGACCGTGACGCTCCGCTATGTCAGCCGAGCAAAGAGTCCACAACCACCACAAGATGGTTCACTGCTTCCGTGTTCCTCTCACACACGTGACCACGCTGCCTCTGATGTTACGTCGTAGGTTATTTCTCTTCATGTGCCCTCTGCTCCAATTGTAAGCTAATGGCTCTGAGGTTTAGAGGACTCCTCAAAGTACTCAGACTGTGTACTTGTTGAGTAATCCTGTGTCCCCTCCACAGAACAAGAATGAGCTTCTCCTGCCATCTTTGTTGAGGGATAAAAAGCTTGATTGCAGTTCTCCATGAGACTGATATTGTTGGACTACTAGTTAGACTACTGCCTCAAATACTATGAAGTACTTATACTGAGAGTTTGGAATCTAATTTGTTTTAAGTTTTTAGATAATACAAACGATCCTCAAAAGTTTTGCTTATGGAATTTTTATTTAGTCTTTAGCCACATTTTTATGGAAGCCCATTTCCACCACTGTGATGATTTACCATCTCATAATTATGGGGAGAGGCCTGCCAGGCCGGCCACAGTGCGGCCATGCGCCATTCGTCTTCTTCTTTTTCTTCTTCTCAGCATAATCCAAGCACTCACTCTGTTTAATTGCATCTTATTTTTATAGCACAGCAACATCACATACATTTTTTTCAATGAACTCTCTGTGACATTTGACAATGAGAGATAACGGTTGTATTGAAGCATATATCAGGTGCACAATGATAGATTCAACAATGTAACATCATTTGACAGTAGCAATGACAGCAGCATCAATGTGTGAAAGGTTACAATGATAATAATGTAAAACACACTGTAGAAGATCTGGATTGTGCAGCTCTCATACCTGCAGAATGACAACAGGGAGACAAGATGTCATATTTTTCATTTTGTAAAAAGATATTGAATCATTACATTAATCATTTCATCAGTCAACACTGACACATTAAAAACATTAAAATCATTTCTGCCAGAATAAACAACTTAAAATATAATTCTTTACACATTTCATGATCTCAGGGGAAAGCATTGACACCAACCTTAACTTACAACATAATTAAATGTGTCACAAGATATTAAATATATGAACAGATGAAATATTGCAAATCAAACAGTGAGTTAAGTAAATTCTCCACAACACTTTGCTTGTGGATTTTGGATTGTGATTTTACGTGTAACAACTCAAATGAATCCCATTCAAAAATAAAATAAAATAAAGGATTTTAAACTCACCTTTAAATTGAACATCTGAGTGAACTCAGTGAAAGAAGTTGACATTTTTAATCTGCCAGTTTGTGCTTCCTCAGTTGATAGACTAAAACTTAGCTTCTTTTCCCAAAAGGCTGCTGAGAGCTGATGGGAATTTTTTTTATTTCTTATTATTTTATTTTTTTGCAGGTGAGGCCTGAGGTGAGGCCTTTGCAGTTTCCCACCAGAAGGGACTCCCTGATTTACATCCACGTTTCATAAAAAAATATCTTTATTGTCTACACCCAGAGAGGTTGAATGCATCAAAGTGAGTAACCCTTTATGTAAAAATAAGAGTTCCCTTCTTCAACAATGGTTGTTCAATCCTCATTGACTTTAAATTACTTTTCATGTTGAATCCACAAACATTTCTGTCTGTAAACACACAGAATCACAATATAAAGAAGTGAGAAAAGAAAAAGTCTAAATAATACAATCCACAGATCAACAAACAAGACAATTACACTTTCAGGGATAAACAACCAACAAACGAATCAGTTCAAATCATTCTATTTCTCAGACTTTGAGCAGAGTGAACCCTCCTTCAGATACAAACACTCAAATAAAAAAACAAGCTTTCCCTCCACTAGTTTAACATTTGAAACAAATGTCAGAAGAACAAGAAGTGAAGTGACTGTTGGACTCACCGGATGTTCACAGGAGAGTCTGAGATCAGCTGTTTAGAGACAGAGCTGCTACTGGACCAGCTGCTGTGCGGCCATCTCTCCACAGGGCGGCGCCATCCTGACTTCTCTTCCTGAATATGATGGATCCATAGCTAGAAACATTATTTAACGTACAGGTAAGTACATTTATAGTATTTTTCTGTGCACAAACACAAGAAACAAATAAATAAGTGTGGACATTATTTGACTGATTATTCATACACTCATTTGCATATTTTTTTCTCATTAAATATTCATTTTAATTAAGAATGGATCAATAATGGAATGTCTTTTCTGTATTTTTTTGTATTTCTGCTGCAAATTTTATAAGCTACGCTTATATACTTTATATTTAACTGAGTAAAACTAAAACAACAAAGAGAAATGTTTCCACCACAACTAAAAACCCTGCTTTGAGAATCCAAATTAAATAAACACACACAAATACTATCAGCCAAATTTAAAATTATATAAGATATAAGTACTTATTCAACAATATAATGGTCCTTGTGTATGAGTAATATCTTATCATATCTATCTATGTATCTATGTATCTATCTATCTATCTATGTATCGATCTATCTATCTATGTATCGATCTATCTATCTATCTATGTATTTATCTTAAAAATGATCCAGATCATTGAGCACATGCATCAAATATCTCACTCTGGTACATATTTATATAAATGTATAGAAAGTAGATAGAAAGTTATTTATAGGTTAATAATTTGTCTAATAACCTTCAGCTTGAGTCTGACTAGAAAACTACAAGATGTCAGATATCGCGAGAACTCACCCAGCCTATGTGAGAGCTCGGGGCGGATATCCGGCCTCTTTTCCGTGGCGGACCGTTGAAGGGTCGGTTTGGCAAAATGAAGGTACAGCGTTTCTCTGACTTTATTAATCTGCTCACTGCTAATTTATCTGAAATACTCCAGTGTGATTAAAGCCGTGATTGTGAGCCTTCCATCGGGTCAGTGTGATGGAGCAGCCCCGGCTCTGACACCGAGGATGAGCTTTGATTGTGAAGAGAGCTAACGCAAGTGAGCGGTGGAAACATGGCGGAACACGGAGAGAAATGTGCCCCGAGCTCGAGCCTCCCTCCACCGAGACAACACGGTCCTCAGAGCTCAGCGGCTAAACAGTAGATTAAGTCTCCGCGGTGGCGTTTAACTATCGTAAACTTGTATTCTTGTTAGCAGCCTTCAGAGCTAACGTCAGCGGGCTTTTAGCTAGTAGCCGGTAGAGAAGCTAACAGGCCTCCGCTAGCCTGTATCACCCTCTGATTCAAACTAACCCAAACACCTATGTAATGATTCATTACAGTTCTTTTAGTTATACTTCCGCCACTATCTTCACTTTAGCTGCATCTAGATACACGTTATACACAGCTAGCGTAACCTACCTGCATGGTGACCTGTCATGGCCGACGTGGAGCTAAGTTTAAAGTGTTAGTAACATTAACCAAACGACTGTGATTTCTCTCCCCCCAGCTGAACATCTCTTTCCCCGCTACTGGCTGCCAGAAGCTGATTGAAGTCGACGATGAGCGCAAGCTGCGAACCTTCTATGAGAAGCGTATGGCCACTGAGGTGGCTGCTGACCCTCTGGGAGATGAGTGGAAGGTGAGCACTGATGCATGATGTCTCCATAGTGTCAGTCAGACCTGAGAGGAGTGAGGGTTTGAATCTAAATGTGTGAAAGCTATCAGAATATTGTTGATCGTTATGGTCTCTGCATCACTGAGACACTTCAGATGTATAGCTACACATCATTTTGTACATGGTGAACTCAGCGTGGCACACCAGTAGACCCTTTTGACTTCTATATAGTCATTAAGGGGGGACAGCGTGTTGCAAAATTAACTGCAGAGCTGCTCCAGATGTGACCAGTCACTTTTATCTGACTGATCAAAACAGCATAGCTCTGTCAATTCTCTTCCACTCTTCATTAAATGTCTAGTTACCCTGGTAGGTTGAAGTATAAGCTGCTTTCAGACATGCACTGAACCCAGAACATGGTGCATGTGTCAACGCCGATAAAGAACCTATTTCTGTTTGATAATGTGGTGCCATACACATAAAATACACAGATGTATTGTGTGTTAAGAAAATCACGTGATCTCTGCAGCAGGGTTAATTCATCACTCCTTACCTCTGCCTGCTGCACCTGCCTGCTCCACCTCTCATATGAATAATACTGAGGATTTCATGCTGTTGTGATCGCACCTGTGCAGAAAACCTCCTGCGGTGTTGTGGCTGTCCGAAAAGCAAACTGCTGGTAAACTCTGAAGCCAATTCTTCAGATGTTACCCGCACCCGCTGAAAACGGCTCAGTAAAGTAAATTTCTGTAGTCTCTACCCATGCAAGGTTGTAGGCTGACAATCAGGCAGTTGGGTTTCAGACAAGTGGAGCTGGAAAGTAAACCACCATTTCTGTAATTTAAGGGTAACTCACAACCCACAGAACCAAAGCAGTCAATTTCATGCTTCTTTTGTTCACTTAATAATACTTGAAAGTTGATGACTGTTGTCATAAATGTTTACACTTGATTTGGTGCATTTTCTCTGGAACTCCAGCCAGATTTATACATCTCTGCAAAAGGTTTTGTGTTTTCACACATGGAGAACAGAGTTCAACTCGTAAACAACAGGAAAATCTCCTTAACATTAAGGTGGGGGTGGCACCTGGGTATAGCATGCAGGAGGCAGGACCTAATGTATAAATTCTGCTGCGTGTCAAATACACGTGTGACACACTTAGTAGAGGGCTAGAAGTAGAAACTCTGGACAATGTCCGCGGCATCCCGTTTACACATTTGCTGTTTCACATACAGCTCCAGATAATTTCAAGATATTATGAAGTTCAGTGCATATCTGAAAGCAGCTATCGTGTCCAGGTCACCTAAATGGAAAAGCACAGAAATATGAATTTGTTTTCTTTGCTTTGTCAGGGTTATGTGGTTCGCATCAGCGGAGGCAACGACAAGCAGGGCTTCCCCATGAAGCAGGGTGTGCTGACCCATGGCCGTGTGCGCCTGCTGCTCAGCAAGGGCCACTCCTGCTACCGTCCCCGCAGGACTGGCGAGCGTAAGCGCAAGTCTGTCCGTGGTTGCATCGTTGATGCCAACCTCAGCGTTCTCAACTTGGTCATTGTGAAGAAAGGTAAGGTGTTCACTGTTAACCTGTAAAACCAGGTGTTAGTGTGGCTGATGGCACACCAGTAGATCCTTTTTGATTGGTCTGTAGTCATTAAGGGGGGACAGCGTGTTGCCAGAGTAACTGTGGAGCTGCTTTCCAGATGCAACCTTACCATTGACCGTGGATGGTTGAACTGCAATGCTCTCTCATTGTTTCCAAAAGTATCACAATGTATTTATGAACTTTTTCTATTTTCAAACATGCTGTGATCAAGTTCAAATCTTGGCTGGTTTCATTTATTTTACACCAGTGCAGTTTCCAGTTGATAATCTATAGTAAACATGACAGTAAAGGAAGACATGCTCAAGCTGTAAACAGTAAAGTTTGTAGTTAACTTGTCTAATCAACATGATGGTTGTTCTCAGGTGAGAAGGACATTCCCGGGCTGACCGACAGCACCGTCCCTCGCCGTCTTGGTCCTAAAAGGGCCAGCAAGATCCGCAAGCTCTTCAACCTGGCTAAGGAGGATGATGTGAGGCAGTATGTTGTGAGGAGACCCCTGTCTAAAGAAGGTAAGAGTTCTCCTATTTCTAGTTCTACCTCCAAGTGTTGTACTTTGGGATCACCAAAGTTAGACAGTACGACTCTGGATTTGACTGTAACTGAAGCTTGCAGTGATTTTGTGGCACTTGTCTTACCTGTTAGTCAGGCTGAGTGTTGTGACCGCAATTTAAAATGAGGATGTAAGAAAAGTGACCAAAATTTAAATGCACCAATTAAAGAACTGTGGAAATGGTCATAGAAACGGTTTGGCTTTTGGAATTGCATAGTCATTTAGTTTGAAAACATAAAAAGTGTTTTGACCTTTTATGAAGTCCAAAATACTTGAATCGGTTTTTGCATGTTGATGCAATCAAATTGCTTATAACCCACCTGAACTTTGACCTGTGTATGCAAACATTACAGGACAAAAGACTGAACAGATATTGTCCAGTGAAGCCTGATCTGTTAAGAATATCTCCATATTAAATTTCCAATTGTAGGTCAGTATGATTTCATTTTAAACAAACAGACGTCTAAGAATAGAACACTGGACACATGATGTCTGCAGATATTGTTAATATGAAGGCTTCCTGTACTCAGGTGTTGAGTAAAATTGTCACTGCTGACCAGATTCCATGACGGCAAAAGCTTCTGTGAATGAGCTCAGTGTTTTGGGATGAGAAAGAAATTCATGAGACTTTCTGTATTTCACATCGCCTGTGTTTATAAGATCACTTCAGCTGTTGGGGAGATGGCTGCATGTCTGAACATTCTTCCATGTCTCCCAAACCTCATCACCACACCAGGCATTTAGTTGCACCATTGATTAACTGCATGCTCCATGTCCTCTGCAGGCAAGAAGCCCAGAACTAAGGCTCCTAGGATCCAGAGACTGGTAACACCTCGTGTGCTGCAGCACAAGCGTCGCCGCATTTCCCTCAAGAGACAGCGCACCCAGAAAAACAAAGAGGAGGCCTCTGAGTACGCCAAGCTGCTGGCCAAGAGGATGAAGGTTTGTCATTTCTTATTGAATAGCACTGCTTGTATCCACCATGTAGACATCATTCCAAACTAAAGCAGATCTAGTAAATATTTCTTTAAAAAACATCTGTTCTACCACTGAGTCCAGTGGGAATTCATGTTAGAAGCTGCCAGAACTTGAAGCTGAAATGCACTGATAAGAAAGTAAAGATGTTGTTGACACAACATTGCAACTACTGCACTAAATCATAACATTTTATGAGTGAAAAATCTTCAAATCTTGTGAGGTGAAATTCTTCAAAAAGTTGAGTTATACATGGAATATTGTTTTAAATATTGTTTGGGTGCAAATGGCTGCTGTGTTGAGACACTTTGCTGACATGTTTGTTCTGCCAACAGGAGGCCAAGGAGAAGCGCCAAGAACAGATCGCTAAGAGGCGCCGTCTTTCTTCTCTGAGAGCATCCACATCCAAGTCAGAGTCCAGCCAGAAGTGAAATCACACAGACAAATAAAATTAACGTTTTGCTGAAAATTTGGCTGATGTCATGTGATTCATTCTCATTTTAAACACCTTGGTTCAGACCAATAGACCATGAATATTCTGTATAGACTGTAAGTTTGCCAGTTGAAATATTTTAGTTGGACTGAAATGCTACATTTACTATATGGTTGGTGAGTAAACCCATAAATATATAAAAGAGCCAAAACATACTGTTTAAAGTTTATGGAAAATATCTCAACCTTGATGTGTTTGTATGAAGAAATCTATATATTACACTAAGCAGAGTTCCCAACACATCCTGGAAGTTTAGAGAGGACTTGTCCAATCATCCACAACCTGGTAATTGATGCCAAAATAAAACTGAATTTAACCACTACTGCTTCTAGAAAGTTGAGTTATGTTATTAGCATCTCAAGCTCCACAGTTCCCTCAAATAAAAGTATTTTCTATACAAAACAGGAAATGGTGAACTCAGGGAAAGCAGCTAACTTAAGGTTTCTTAAATCTGCAGGTGCTGAGCTTCAGTTTCCTGCTCTGACTTGTACAGTGATGAGTTAAGTCTGCATATGAGCAAACTGCAATATGATCAACCAGACAGTTTTCTCCATCCTCAGTCATTGCACTCAAAACAATGAACTGCAGTTCTTCAGCAGTGGGTGGCATTAAATGAGGGGAAGGAAGCAAGTTCTGATTCTAACTTTTATTTTATACCAATATTCATTTGCACCAAGAGCTATGGGACAAATTCAAACAAACACAATACAGATATATACAGTATTCATCAGCAACGCACGCCTAACATGAGACATGTTTGTCAGCCTCATTTGGTCGGGGGTGAAGCCTGTGAGGGGGCCTGCACCACGTCCTTGTGAAGAGAGGAGACCTTGGTTGCATTGACATCACTTGTAATTTGACCTGACTGGTTTTGATCTGGTGTTGGGAAGTTTAGGTTGTACATCTGAGAGATAAAGAAAAGCACAGACACAGCCTGATGCTGCAGGTACTGAGGCAGCCCCCGGAGGCTCCAGACCCAAGTCAGCCACGACATCTGAACGTCCTGAACCAGAACTGATGACCAAGACAACGTCTCCACGACCTGTTACAGACAAAATGTACTGAAGCTAAAGTGGGATACAATGAATATTTCTGGTAAAAGTGCAGGTATGAAGTGAATGAATTTCATTTAGCTGATTGACTGCAGCTGCTGAATGTAACATTTGATGACAATGTCATTGTTAAATCTGGGATTTTTCTTACTGAGAGAAGACAAGTCCCACTGTGTGCAGCCAGGGCAGCAAATTGTTCCAGTCAAATAAAAAACTAAATTCTCTAATTCTCTGCTAGTAACATCCTCACATCAACTTCATGTTGAACTTATGTAAAGTTACTAATGTGAGGAGAAACCGCTTTGTGTCCTTACAATAGACATAAGTCATGTCACTCCATAATAACTGACCACAAAATCCCAAAACAGATTGAAAATCCTACATAAACATCGATGAGGAAGGTAAATGCTCACATACAACATGTGACTCACTGCTCTGCCTCTTGTGAAAAAGAAAAGTTTGACATTTTGGATAATGCACTTATTTGCACTCCTGAAGAGTTGATACTGATGTTGTCACGCAGCCACTGGAGAAAGGTTTTTTGCTATATATCAACAAACTTGTGATGCCACAATTGATCATCCTCATCATTCACATGTACATTTTTGTACAGATTAGACTAACGAGATATTTCAACAGTCTGAAGCTGTGGTGTTTTCCAGAGAGGTTTAGTGAAATGTTTGGAGTTTCACAATCCTGATGAGAGTTTTCACTTCCAATCTCCTCATGTCAACGCCAGGCAAGAATACAGTAATTGCATTTTTTATGTCAAACTCTTCCAATAAACTGTACTCACAGCACACCTGAACTGAGTGCATCTTGGCCCCCACCACGTAGCAGGTCCTCCGACACAGTTTGACAGTGAGAGAAACCAGTCGCACGGGGAAACGTCTCCCTAGTGTGGCTGCCTCGAAGCCCCGCACCGAGTGAGCTGCTGCTGCTGCTGCTTCTATAACATGAGCAAGAGGAAACAAATGGGAAATTTTATTGTTCGCTTGCATGGACATTTATATTTGCTCTGATAAAATGGTTAAAAAAAGAACACAGGGACATGTTTAAATAAAATCCTCAACCACGGTTTAAAATACATAAAATAACAGAATTATTAACCAGTGCAGTTTCAGTCTACATGCATTGGTTTCCCCAGACTCATGAGGTCACTGTGACTTTTGACCACTGAAATCTGATCAGTTTAACTTTGAATCCAAGTGACAACTGGTCCAAACTTGAGGAAACTCCCTAAAAGCAGACTTGAGATATCAAGGGGCCAAAAAACATGTTTTCTGAAGCCTCTGAAGTGATAAACCTGCAATAGAAAACATTGGTCGTCAGTGTTAAATACTAACATGTACATAAATAACTTGTTTAGTAGGATGATTAGAGATGGAATAAAATATTTCAAGATATTTCTGATGACGTTGTTCTACTCTGATCCCGAGTAGTCTCCCAGAAGTAGTTTTTCAAATTTATATTTCAAAAAGATATTTTGATGTTTCACTTCAGGAACTTTAATCCACACTACGTACTTTTGTCTTCCTCGTTTGGAGGAAGTACTTGATCCACCAGGGCCTCCGCCACGCTCAGAGCTGAGTCCAGTCCCTCACTGGCCACACTGACGGCTCTCTCCACCACAGTGTGGGTGGTCCCGTCGCCAGCCTGCTGCATCCGCTCCATCACCCATGTGACTGTGTGCTGTACGCAGTCCACGGTCCCGTTGGCTGCGATGCTCATCACTTCCTGGATCTCGTGCATCCTGTTCTTGGCCGTGGCAACAATCTGGGGGAAGCAGGAACATTTGTTTCACTCTTAATAAGAACTGTGCATTTTGTGGAGCTGGTCAGTTTTGAAACGGAGAAGAGAAAAAGGTACCTGCTCAGTGGGGGTGTGAAGCACAGGGAATGTGGTCTCCAGCCAGTCCAGACTTTTACAAGCCACACCATTTGCACTGGAAACTGTGGAAATATTCCAGATAAGTTTGTTACTACAACAAATTGATACTCCTGGATGTATTTAGCAAATATATTGAACCTATTATGTTGAGAAAGTGATAAGTATCCCGTGCATCTGTTATGTCCACACTCAACATCAAGTACAAAAAGCACTTGAATTGAAATGCTAAAAACAGGTGTTTATCGTTACGAATAGGCTGCTCGTGTTTAGTTTGCAGGATAAACGATCACTTATTAGTAACAAAGTGTAACCTCATGACATAGCTTCCTACGTCACATAATTATTTACAGTCAGTTCCTTTTTAAAAATGTATTAACATGTTTTACCCTAATGTCTTGACATATTATGTTCAAAAGGACAAAAACATGTTTTGTGAGGCCAATGTAACTTTGACTTTGACCTTTGACCACCAGATCAACACAAATGGCCCTTTGTACCAGATTTAAAGAATGGGACGGACATGTGGGGACATACACAGGAGGACAACCTAAAAACCTAATGCCTCCAGCAGCTGTTGCTGGTGAGGAGGCATTAAACACAGATTAAATGCTGATGAATAGTTTTAGCCCTACACATGACCACATGGCTTATATCTATATCCAAACACATTAGTGCTGTGGAAAGTGGGTGTACGGTGTCATACAGACGACAGAGGTTACTCACTCTGGGGCTCCAGTTGAACAATGACAGGTGAAACCCTCTCACTGGCTACTGAGCATAAAACTGTCACAGTGTTCTCCAGCACCTCACACACAGCCTTCAGGTTTGGGTGGTTGTGTTTAGTGTCGGCGTACAGGAGGGACAGTGTCACACAAGCTGTGTGAACCAAAGGCAGCTTGGAGAGTCTGACAGCAGCATTCTGCGTCTTCTGAAAGAAAGAGAACCAGCAGGGAGATTTAAAAATAATTAACTAGCACCTTTCAAGACAGCTGTTAAAGTTCTTTACAAAGAAAACACCTGAGACAAAGAGCAAAACAATACAAACTTAAATCAAACACATCATTTAAAAGTGGTGGCAAAAAGGATAAAAGAAACATAAGATTATAGCTAAAAACACTTCACGCTTTTAGAGATGATTTAAAATGAAAAAAGATCTCAGGGTACAGATCTTAAAGCACAGTCACTTGCAATGCCATGAAGTCAGCAGGCGCATTCTAAAATCATCTCCAAAAACAATCCTGGCAGCCAAAGAAGGGAAGCTGGCACTGAGGAGATATGTCATGTTTACGTGATTGGGTTAGCCGCATAAATGTTTTAATTTCAGGATCGTTTGGATGTGCAATAATTTTCCATTTCTACTTGTCTGTTTTGTTCTGCATTGTGCACTTATAGCCAGATTACAAAACAAATGTCCACCTACTGCTGGTATCACAACAGTGGAGCCATTTAAAGTCGTGGGCTAAATAAGATTTAACACAATATTTACAACAAAATGGGAGCACAGGGTGTTTTAACATGAAGATCAAACAGGTGATGACAGAGGAGGTTTTATTCCTCATTGCTCTCACCTGGTTGTTGTTCATCGGCATGTTTCCACACTTCAACAGAGGAAATCACGTGAGACTTAAAGACTGAAATTGAAACTTCCCTGTGACCTTCATCGGTTTAACACAGAGAATAAAATACTGATCTCAGCAGATCAAAGCTGGTTCACAGGACAACTGTGACTCAAGGTGATGAGTCAATCAATCAATCAGTCCTCACCTGTTCAACTGTTCTCGCGATATGTCCACGCAGCCGTCTAGTGCGTCTGCGAAATGGGGCGGGGTCTAATGTGGGCGGTGCAGAGATGGCAATTGCACCATCTGCTGGACGACTGCAAGAAGGGCAAAAACAATTCTTCTTAACTATATACAGTATTTATACAGTATATATATACAGTATATATATATCAGTAATTTATATTTTAAAACCATTTTCCAATGAGTAAATGTGTTTGTGTTTGTGGGAATTTTTAAGTTTAAGGTCTCTACTTTAATATGTTCATAAGAATATGTCAGAATGGATTGGAAATGTTTTGTTCTTATACTGATGTAAGTCCAGGCTGGTCAGATTAGACAGGTAAGAGCTTTTCTTAATGTAAAGCTCCACAGATTCCTTTTTATTTACATAGCACAAAAACACTACATACGTTATCTCAGGGCAGCTTTTTGAAGTCGAGACTTTACAATATAATAGAGAAACCAAAGAGCTGCCACTATGCTGTTCAGTCGCATGCCATCCTTGCTCTGTGTATTATATTATAATATATTATAGGAGCTGACTGTGTGTATCCACTGTATGTTTATCTTGAGTTATCTAATCCAAGTCATTTTTCTGCCAAATTACAGTTGATTCATAATAATTACATCGCTGTGAGCAGGATTTGAACCTGCGCGGGGAAACCCCATTGGATTTCAAGTCCAACGCCTTAACCACTCGGCCATCACAGCTCTGAAAGAAGACTCATAATCTATCTGAATCTGTACTTGGTGTTAGTTCCAGGCGTCCCGGATGTTCATAAAGGACTGAAACATAAAGATGTAAAGTACGACACATCTAATTCTCTGCTCTCTTAGTCAGTCAGTACGTTCCTGCATCAAACAAACCCCTGGTCCACGAAATAGTGCATCCACTGATCCACTATATTTATTTAATCATACACTACTATATGTATTAATCTGCTGCTACCTGGTCCTGTACATTTTTTATTCACCTTAACTGTACATAATCTATATCTGCATTACTTACCTCAATGCAATCTGATCACTTTAATGATTAAGTATTAATCTACGTTCTTACAGTTTTCACAGCTGTTATCCTGTTCACCATCCTTTTACAGTCACAAAGACTACTCTTACTTTATAATTTAACCGTCCATGGATAGGAATTTGAATATTTGAAGGATCAGTCGCCATAAGATATAGATGTCAGGTCCAATAGGTACGATTGGGAATCTGTGCTGGTTTCAGTCCGTCCACAGTCGGACAGTGGGCTCCTGCATCAAACAAGATGTCCCATCATCATGGAGCTACATGTACTTTTCAGATCATCAGTTCTGGACTGTTCATTTGATAGAGTGATAAACACCATAACTCTAATTATGATTCTGATTCACCAGGGACAGACTTGACAGTTGTCTTGCTGTTATTCCACATTCTTAAGATCGCTGTGAGCAGGATTTGAACCTGCGCGGGGAAACCCCATTGGATTTCGAGTCCAACGCCTTAACCACTCGGCCATCACAGCTCTGTGACTCTGCTTAAATATTAAAGATAAAAAATAGGGCTCCTCTGAATATGAGGGAGAGAACGTGAGATGTCAAGTCCAAGACGTTTTGGGAATACTTGCATCAAGCAAAGCTCCAAACTCATCATAACCACTGAGTTGCCCTTGGAGAAAAGATCCATGGTGAAGGCTAAGTGAATATTAATAATCGATGAAGCGAAAAATATCATATCTTACTAACACTGCAGCATGTGACATACAGTCAGGAAGATACAGTGAGGGATCATAAACAGTGTGGAGGCAGAGACTATGTTTGTCAGCTGTTTCAGGCACAGCTGTAGGCAGCTACACAAAATATGCAGTTTTCCAAATTTGACTTGTCATATGGGGGAAGGTCATTGCTGGGACTGTGTGTGATTTGAATTCAATGCCTTAACCACTCGGCCAGCACAGCTCTGAACTAGTCAAAATGGAAAAGAGGGTGATCATATCCCACTCCGACTCTATGAGGATTAGGGTCTGAAAGGTGAAGGTGTCAAATCCAACACATCTAAATCAGTTAAGTTGTAATTCAGTTCCTGCATCAAACGAGCCCCCCCCCACCACAATATACCTAATGTCTGCAGCACACTGACATCATACTGACAACTGAGATGACCTTGGAGGATGGATTCACAGTGAATGTTGATTATAATGCCAAAACAATGATGCAGCCTTCAAGGAACACAAGGGTGCAATGAATCCTCCTCCTCCTCCTGCTGCTGCTGCTGCTGCTGCTGCTGCTGTGACCACTGGTCTGTGAACATCTGCAGGCAGTGAGATCACGAACACTACATCTGAGTGCAAGTATACCAGCTAAATACTGTCGAGAATCACTGACCAACGGGATTTGAATAAAGCTGAAGGAAACAGAACAGGGCTCAATGTGACAACCTCAACCTGAGTCAAAGCAAGAAATATCTGTTCCAATCCATCCTCATCTTCAGATCTGTTAATAACATTCACAGATTATGATTTATTTATTCAGATCTTTTTCTGATTTAACACATTTAAGTCCAGTGTGCTCTACGTATCTTTATTTGCAGTATTTAGAATTGGTGAAAGTATTTGCATCCTTGCTTGCCTCAAGTATGAATCTATGTGTGTGATTTGTTGCAGTTGCAGTTTTAAAGCTGCAGAGGAGATAACACCTCTCACAAGCACCTGCTGCTCACCAACAGGTCCATGTGCAGGTCTGGGCCTGTCTGGATGGAGGCGGAGAGATGAAATAAATGTCCTCACAGAAGAGTCAAACACTCAGGACCCAGTGCAGCTGTGTTATTACAGGAAAAGACAGTGGTGGCACGGGATTAACTTGGAGAACCGACAGTGTTCTAAAGGCACAGACGCACCCAGCTCTGTATCTGCATACTGATGAGCAGGACTGATGTGATTTCCAGTCAGAGGACGTTTAATGTCTTTGGCTCATGCACAATGGATACTGGAGGCGCGCACGCTCTCAGCCACGAGCTTCTATCGGTGGTGCTGATGCTGCTGATGCTGCTGCAGCATCACGAGAGCGCAGACACACAACGTGCCCACAAAATGTGGCTTTCTTTACATCCTCATGCGTGAGGGAGGAGGTGTGCGGCTCCAAGACTTTGGGAGGCGGCGGCAGTCACACGCTTTGCGACTGCGAACAGCGTTGGAGACACAAGAGGAGCACGTGTAGTGGGTGGTCCTCAGCACTCGGATTTCACGTGGCTCTGGCGAGAACCGAACCGCCACTCCGTCAGTCCGGTGCTGCAACAGCAGGAGACAACACCAGCGCCATGGCCGTGGAGATGGAGCCCTCAGAGTGAGTGCGCGTTCATCTTATCTTATTTTCTGTGATGAAAATAGAAGAAGAATCACAATAAAAGCACATGTTTGACTGTGCAGAATAGAAAACACGAGTTTTTCTTTAATGTTAGTAGCTGCGTCTCATATAACCATTCGTGCATTACGCATTGAGTTGGAAGATTTATGTTTCACTGATTGAATTCCCACGTGATGTTTGCGTCAGTGTAAAAAGTTAATTCTCATATTAAATGTGTGAGGATGTTTACTGGGATACAACATGAGCTTAAATGTGTAATTTAAACATATGCGTCTTTTTCGATGACGCTGCGTAACGTGTGGTCAGAGCTGCTCTAATGTTGCGTTGAGTCATTTCACCTAATGTTACTGAGGGGGGGCGGCAGGCTGGTTTGCAGTCACTACACACACACACACACACACACACACACACAGAGACACATGTCCTCACTTTCCCAAAATGTCCTCACTCTGTAGGTTGAAGGTTTGAAATGGTCCTCACAAAGATATCTGTATGGCGCACAAAGTGTCTGCTTCATCCACATGTGCCTGTTGATCTAATACGCCCCCACCTCTATAGTGGCGTTTATACTTTGTCTTAGTTTCTCATAGTTAAAAACAGGCTCAGAGCATCAGTGGGTGAATTTCATCTACAGTCATAAAACAATGCCAGTGATCCTTCGAGTCACTCACTGGGAGACAACAGACAGTTGTGGAATCAACCAGCACATGACTCAAAAA